GCGGCGGCGGCGGGCAGTCCCCGGCCCGCATGGCGGCCAGCTGCTGCTCCAGCTCGCGCACCACGAGCCGCAGGTAGTCGAAGCTGGCCCGCGACAGCGCCTTCACCCAGCCCTCCATGGCGGCCTGGCTCTCGGCGGCCAGCACGTAGGTGCGCGCCCGGGCCCCCGCGAAGCGCACGGCGAAGGCGAACTCCTCGGCGGCCTCCACCAGCTCCACGGTGCAGCCCTCCAGGATGATGACGCCCACGGGCTCGCGGCTGGCCGGCTCCTCGAAGTAGAAGAGCATGTTGCCGCGCAGCACAAACCAGCGGCGGTGGTAGGCCGCGTGCCGGCCGCCCTTCTTGTACAGGAAGCCCGCGTTGTCCACCGGGGCGTCGCACGTGGCGTAGAAGGCCAGGCTGCGCTCGTTCAGCTTCATGGCGGCCGCGCCGGGGCCTGTCCCCCACCAGGACAGCGAGCCGTGACTCCCATGGCCACCGCCACCGGGTTCCACCACCATGCTCCTCCCCCCCCCCCCCGCCACCGCCACCACGCTTACCGCCGCGCCTCGCCGTGACCTCGCGACCACCCTCGGCCACCGGCGGCCCTCAACGCCCCTCTCGCACAGGTGAGGAAACTGAGGCTCCTGGAGCAGAAGCGGCCTGGCCACGCTCACGCAGCTCCTCAGGAGCAGAGCCAGGGCCCAAGCTCGGGGCTGACTGGCCCCAGAGGGCTCCGCAAGGTAAGGTGGAGGATGACTACTGCAGGCCGAGCATTTTACACGTATTAACTCATTTCATCTCGCAGCAAACCCCGGTGGGCGGGGGCCTCGCACCACCCCTATTTGACAGGTGGGGTAACAAGGGACAGAAAGGCTAGTCACTCTCAGGCAGTCACAAAGCAAGATGGGCGGAACTGAAATTCAAACCCAGGCCTCATTTCAGGGGTGGATGTTTTCATCCACCCCAGAAACCAGACCGGCTGTCTTTTTGTGGTCCCTTCCAGGTCCCAGCTCTGCTTTTATAACTCGGCTTTGATTGGACCCATCATGAAATGGGGACACGAACAGAACTTATCTGCAGGGCCTTCATTCATCAAACATTTGTTAAACACCCGCATGTGCTGTTCCAGGCACTGGGAGTACAACCATAAACAAGATAGGGTCTCTGCCCTCAGGGTACTGCTATGCTGGTGGCAGGGGAAGGGGGCAGACAATTAACAAACAGGTAAAGTACATCTCCCAGGTGGTCTTCAGTGCTGTAGAAAATATAATACAGGGAAGGGGCCGGGGTGTTAGGGACAAAAGGAATGTTTGACTTTAATGGGAGTCAGGAAAGGCTGTACTGAGACGGTAACGTCTGAGCAGAGACCCGAAGGAGGTGAGGGAGGGAGTCCCAGGGACCTACCAAGCAGAGGAAAGAGCAAGTGCAAAGGCCCTGAGGTAGGAACCCACTGCTGTGCTTGAGGAACAGCCAGGAGGCTGGTGAGGCCAGAGCAGAGGGGCAAGGGGAGAGGCAGAAAAGACTATTATGAAGTGACCCAGATTAAAGGTCCAGGGCTTTTTTATACAAAGGGGATGGGGAGAGCACCAGGTACCCACTTAAAGCGGAAGACTCTAACTCTATACACTTGGCCCAGTGATATCTATCCACCTTCCCCCAGGGAGTACATGATGGGGCAACACTGGCCAGATGGGACTAACTGGGAGGTGACTTGGGCCCCCAACATAGCCATACCTCCCTTGGAGTTTTTCATGGCCACTTTGGGCTTCACAGCCCCACTCTGCATAGGACAGTAGGTGAATTTTTCAAGAGGCAAAGCATGTAAAGTCCCTGGATTGCAGAAGGTACTCAGTTAATGTTCATTCCCCAGCCTGGGTGGTACCTTACCCAAGGCCTGGAGGAATGAGGTATGGCTGGTGACTCTCCTGGGAGCATCTGCCAAGCCAGGCAACCTGACCCAGAGCAGAGGGGAACGATTGCTCCCAACGGAATCCACCTCATCTAACTTGCCTGAGCAGTCAAGGCAGGCTTCCTGGAAGAGGCAACACGCACTATGATTTAGTAGTTGAGATCAGCCTGTCTTGACCTGGCAGTGGCACCAAGGTCAGAGAGAGGCCGTGAGGGCTCAGGGTGTTTAATCCCTGCTCTGCCTACCTGAGCTGAGTGACTTCAGACACGTGGCCCTGCTCTGAGCCTCAGTTCCTCTCTGCAAAACAGGACTCATGCGTTCTCCCTCACACCCCAACAACTCCATGTGGACCCTGGCTCCATTTCTCACAGGAACCACCCACCCTTCTTGTCCCATCACCCTCCTACCTTGCAGGCCACCGCTTGCCTCCCTGCCCTCTGCCCAGTCTGGTATCGGCTTGCTCTTCTCTGGGTTCAAACGTCAGCTCTGTAGTGTCCAGGTTGTGTGACCCTGGGCAAGCTTTAAGCTTCTCTGGGCCTCTGTTTCCACATCTGTAAAATGGGATCATGACAGCACCTACATCAGGGTGTTGTGATATGACACAGTGACTCTGTAGAAGGTGCTGAGCATGGTGCTGGACACACACTACACACTCAGCAGCAGTAGTGTTGATATTCTTCTCAGCCTGGCCAAGTGCTCCCCTCAGCACTCTCTGTCGCAACAAACGGCTTTGCCTTCTCCCCCCACCCCCACTCTGCACTCATCAAGCGCAGTGGATCCCCCCGCATCCCAACCTCTTCCAAATCAGTGGCCTAATATCTCTGACCTCTACCACCTCCCCGTCCTCGGTCCATATCGTCACTCGCCTCGACAGCTGCAGTAGCCTCCTCACTGTCTCCCTGCCTCCCTGCCTCCACCCTTGCCCCTTCCCTGCCCCTGTTCTTCAGGGTAAGACGCAAACTCCCTCCTTGGCCCCTCCCCTGGCCCCACTACAATCCATTCCCCACACAGGGATCCTGTTAAGATAAGTCCAACCACACCCCTCCTCTACTCTAAACACTCCCATGACTTGTCCCAGTATTAAATTCAGTCCTCCCCATGGCTTCCAAGTGCCCTTCCCCAACCTCTTTCCCCCTTGCTCATTCAGCTCCAGCCACCCTGGCCTCCTTGCTGTTCCTCAAACACACCAGCCTTTGCCCTGGCTGTTCCCTCTGCCTGGAATGCCCTTCTCCTATCTTCACATGGCTGACTTCTCATCCTTCAGTTTTAGCTTGACCTTCAGTATGCAAGAGACAACCCCCCCCAGTCACTCTCCTACACCCCAACCTGAAATTACCTAGGTCATCTTTGCCTACTCTAGGAGGGCAGGGGTTTTTTCCCTGAATTCCAGTGCCCAGCATGTAGTTGGTGCTCAAATACCTGTAGAATGAATCAGACAATTATCTTCTAAAATCTCTCTACAGCCCTGTAAGAAGGGATCTGTTCATCAACCCACATTCACAGATGTGGAAAATGGAGACAGAGAGGTTAAGTAACTTGCCCAAAGGCACAATGTTGTGCCCAGAGTCACAGGCTCCAGGCAGCCAGCACAAAGGGGCTGATCCTGGGATGTCCCCACCCCATTAAGGCCCAAGGAAGAGCAATTTCCCTCATGGCTCAGCAGCCATCCTCCCCCTACTGCCCAGATGGGGCCAGCCTGGCCCAGGGTCACCGGCCAGCACAGAACCCCACTCTGCCCATCGCCCTTACCTCCTCCAGCCCAGCAAAAAACAGTGGGGGGAGGGCAGGAGGCAGCAGGGGTGTGGGCTCCAGTCTCTGGGAGGGCCTGGTCAACCACTTATCTCGTCACACTCATGCTGTTTTCCAAGAAGTTCAGAGTCCACTGTGGGTACTGCTGTTGATTCAACAGTCTTTGGCCAGGCAGGAAGCAGGAGGGAGCCTGGCCTGTCTCTGGTCCCAGGGCCAAGTTTTCCCCTCCACCTAAAGAATATCACTTCACCTTCCCTAGCCTGTTTCCTCACCTGTCAAACGGGCCATGGAGTGGGTTCAATGGGCTAGAATGAGGAAAACCCACTGGCAAACTATGGGAAAGGCACCGAAAGCACTGCCACTGTGAGTCGGGGTGAGCTCATCTATAAAATGAGCATATTAATATCCATCCCTCTGGGAAGGATTGAATAAATCCGGAGGAGGCATTCTGCAAAATGTTTACCAGGTAGGGAGCACTCAGGAAAGATGCTGTCCAAAAGGCAAATAATTAGCTCAAGGTCTCCAAGGACACAGCTGGCCCAGAACCCAGGACTCTGGAGAAACTGAGGCATGGCATTTTGGCATTCAATTCAAGAAGCCAGACCACAGGTGCTGAGATTGAATCCAGCGGCCACAAGTGTCCCCAACAGTGGGCATGGGGAGAGGGTGTGGCAGGTACAGGCAGAAAAATGTGCTGAGAACCCCGAAGAAGAGCGCCTCTCCAGCGGGGGCCAACAGGGACGCCAGGACCCCCGCCCCAGGCTCGAGGCAGCCCTGCTGCCCACTGCAGAGGCTGGTTCCCCAGGTCTGGCACCGCTCCTGGCTGCCCTCGTCCCCTTTCTTTGTGTCTGGTGTGTTCCTTAAAGGACAGCCAGAGCCCCAGATGAGGTGGGTCACCGCAGAACGTGGGAGCCAGAGTTCCACCACTGCCGAAGGTCCCTTATGGGGCGGGGGTCGTCGGCCAAGCTCGGCCCCTGGGGTACCGAATCGGTAAATTACCAGTGGCGTGTTATCGCTGATGGGCAGCTCTCTCCAGCAGAGGTCTCCCCAGACAGCCGGGGACCCCGAGGCCCACGACGGCCCCGAGCCCGGTCTCGCGCCACCCGCAGGTCCCCCCTCGCCAGGCCGGCCTTACCTCGCCATGCAGCCTAGGGAGGCGGCGGCGGCGGCGGGACGGGAGGCGCGGGCCCGGGGGGCCGCCCGGCCATGGCCCGGGACCCGCTCGGTCGCGGCGGCAGCGGCGGTGCTTTGTCTCCGGGGCGGCCCGGCTGGCGCAGCCGCGGGAGAGCGCCACTCGGACGGAAGGAGGCGGGGGCAGCCGGACGGTCCACGACCCGCGGGCGCGCCCCTTTAACCCTTCCCAACCCGCCCGCTCCGGGGACGCCCCCGCCTTCGTCCCGTCCCCGGATTGGCCAGCACCGACTCGGCACGCCCCCTCGGTTAGCCACGCCCCCTGTTGGCCGCCCTCCGAAACCACTCTTAAAGGGACCGCGCCTAACTCACCAATCCCCAGTGTCCTATCCCAGGAAAGAGGCCTAGGGCCCCGACACAGAACGCGCTAACAGGGGTAAGGACGGGCGGCGGATTTGCCTGGAAAAAGGATCTGGGGTCGTGGGCGGGACCAGTCGCTGCAGCCCTAGGCCAGAGTCGGAGCTCCTCCCTGGCTAGCGTTGCCAGGTTTAGCAAATTTAGCTCCTAGCTAAATCTGTAAAACAACTCTGCTGAAAATTTGTAATTTATTGGAAAAAAAAAAAAACCGTATACAGCACATTTAAGGCG